GCACGCACATAAGCGCACACACACAGATGCACACACATAGTTCAAGAAGCCAAGAAGCTGGGATACACCCCTCAAGCAATGCTTTGAAAATCAAAACCTTAGGTGTCCAATTTTACAAATGTGCAAATTGCTTAAGTGAAATGAGATTCTGCTAAGGGTAAAAGGATACCAGGATTAGCAGGCGCGGGGTGGGTGAAGTTGTTCAAAGGAAAGAGTATTCAATGAATGTTGAGTTTGTAAGTATTTCCCTGGGCTAAGGAAACTACTCCATTTGTCCAGAAGAAAGAAAATCATCTGCTGTGTTTGGACACTGGCTATAGATACGGTGTGTTTGGACATATGGCATAGATCATGTTTAAACAAATACCAAAAATGCCTGCCTGAAGCAGTCATATTCTACTAATACACGTGCACATTGAATTCATCTAAGGATGCACCTTGATTGCATTAATAGCAAAGTCAATTTTCAATTTTTCACTTTTCACTATTTCTTACATGTTAGTCTTTCCTTAATAAACTAAGGCACCTGATCTAATCCCTTATGTTCATTGAAGTTCTGATGTTTCTTTCAGTGCATGTTGAACATATGAAAAATGATCATAATCACAAACTCTGCCAACCTGAACAAAAGTAGTTTCACAACAGATTTCTATCTATAATTTAAAGATGGGGATTCAGCAAGGTCCCCATTTCCTGTCTTCATTCTAATCTTTGATCTACCATCCTGCATTTTTTTTCTTGCTTTTTTTACTGTAAAACAATCTCAAACTCATGAAAAAGTTGCAAGTCAACTCCAAAATATCCTTTATCCAGATTCACTAGTTGGTAGCATTTTGCCACATCTGCACCATCAACCTCTTGCTCTCTCCAAATATATCTTGAAGAGTAGGTTTCATACATCATAACACAGCATGCCCCCTTACTTCTCAGTATTATGTGTGCATCTCCTAAGAACACAAATGTTGACTTTATTCTCTTACATAACCTCAGTACAATTATTAAATTCAATAAATTTAACATTGATATAATATTTTTACCTAGTCAATCCAATCCAATCCCAATCCTTACCCCAATTTTATCAGTGATCTCAATAACATCCTTTATATCTTCTTCCCCTTCAGTCCAGAATCCAGTCTAGGACAACATACTGCATTTAGGTGTTATTTAGTCTTTAGTCTCTTTAATCTGGAAAAATTAATTCCCAAGTCTTTATCTTTAATGACAAATACTTTTCAAGAATATAGGCCACTTATTTTCAAGAATCTTCCTCCGTTTGGGTTTGTCTGCTGTTTTCTCATAATTAGATTCAGTTGGTTGCATTCCCAGGCAGAATACTACCTAAGTGACATTGCGTTCTTCTCAGGAAACCACATATAGAGTCAGGCTACGTCTGTCGTCCCTTATCCGTGATGTTAGTTTTGCTTTCCCAGTCAAAGCATTGTTGTGATTCTCTGCTGTATGGTTCCTGTTGTTTTCGCATTGCACCAATGAACAATCTGTGGGGAGACCTTTGGAGAACGAGGAAATATCCTGACCCTTCTCAAACTTTTCCCGCTAGATTGGTCATCCATTGGTGATTCTTGTCCAAACCAATCTTTACTATGACTACAAAATGGTGATGTTCCACCTCTTCTTCTCCCTCCTGTCTCAGTCGGCTTTCTGCAGGAAGGAGGAGCTCTCGCTTCTCATCTGTCTGTCTACCTACCCAACTATCTGTGTATTATCAGTAATGACCCATGGATTTCTATTTTATTCAGTGGATTACAATCCTTTACTGTCTTTACTTATTTTTATGCTGAGATATTCCCAGATTTAGCCAGGGGGAGAAGCTCCAAGCTGGTTTTAGGGGTCTTTTGACATTGCCCCATCACTTTTTTGAGCACTTCCTTAGATTCTGGCACAACAGGGTGTTTCAGGTTCAACTCTTACCTTCCCTACTACAATCTTGAAATCAGCTATTTCTCCAAGGAACACTGGTTCCTTTTAGTGGGGAATGGTATTTAGAAGGCAAGATTTGGGTGCTAGCTGTGCACATTACTATTGGAGTATAATTTCTTCTAACCCTTTCAAGAGCGAGCCAAGAGGGGGAAGACATATGCAGATAGATGATAGAAAGACAGATGGTAGATAGATAGATAGATACATACATACATATATGACAGATAGATAGATATAGAGATATAGATACAAAATAATCAGTTCATACCTTCAATTGCAAATTCCAATCCACCCAATGGGGTTTTTCATGCCTTTCCCTATCCCATATTTGAATCTTCCTGCACAGTAAAAATCCTGGTTTCCAAGATTATCAACACATGCACTCATTTGCTTATTCCTACAATGCATAAGAAATAGTTTTAGAATTGCTATACCTATAATACTCCAAAAAACAGACCTACAAAAAGGATTCAAGGTTTGTTTGTGGTTCTTTTTTTTCCCCTAGACTGAGACTATATTGTAAAAGGACTGAATTCAAAAGCTATTTGGGAGAAACTTCCACTTCTAGTAAGATGAGATAGACACACTTCTCTTTATTTCTTCTGTTCAGTACAACTAAAAACCCCAGAATAAGTAAAATAAACATAAGAAGACTCTGAAAGGCAGAGAAGAAGGCAGACCAGCAGGACCTCGAGACTCAAGGGACGACGTGAAGGTGAGTTCCCTGGGTTTCCTTTTTGCTTTCCACATCCCACACTTGGAGCTGAAGAAGCTGGCAATCCAGAAATGCCAACACAAGTACACGAAAACAACAGCAAAACACTGCTGGCCCCAGCCAGAGATCTAGGAAAGGGCAGCCTCGCAAGGCAGAAAACTTGTGGACAGTAGCTGCTCTCCTGCAGCGAAATACCACAGAAAAGACCGGGGCCCTACCCCCAGCCCTGCCAGCAAAGGCCAACTGGGGACCCCAGACTTTCACCCTCGTCAGGCCTGAGGAAGCATCCAGCCTCTCCCCAACCACAGCTGCGTGTGAATCTATCAATTAACTCAAAACAAAAATCTTAATTAAAAACAAAAACAAGAAAAAAAATTAGGATTATTTCTTCCTCCCCCCCTTCAATGTGGACAGGTTATGAATTGGAAATACAGTTGAAGTTCATTTATTTTTGTTTGTATTTAGTTTGCTTTATTTTCCCATACCTGAGCCTTCAGTTTTAATTTTTGAATATGTAGAACATTAATATGCTTCCAAAAGGAAAAAAGCTAACAGAAAGGGTACTCAGAGAAGGGTGCTCCCTCCCCTCCTCCTTCCACCCTGACCACCTCGCCCGACCCCACATCCCCTGGTAGGCAATCGATTTCACCGCCTTCTGACTTGACCTTCCTGTGTTTCCTTTTGCAAGAATAAGCAGATTTATGTACATATGTTTTATTATTTCTATTTCTTTCTAAGTAGAAGGTGTCTAGATCCAGAAAAGAAAAGAAGCGTTTGTTGGTATTTTTATTGGGATAATACTAAATTTATAAATTAACTTGGGGAGAACTTGGATCTTGATGATGCTGAAACATCCTAATCAAGAATAAGGAATGTTTCTCTCTTTCTTCTAATTTAGTTTTATATCTTTCAGGAGTGATTTTTCCTCAAATAGATTTTGAATATTGCACATTTCATCTACTTCTAAGCCTTTTAGATTTTTTGCTCTTGTAAACAGGATTTTCTCTTCCATGGTATCTTCTACTGGTTCTTCTTTGTGTATTTGAAGGACATTAATTTTGGTGTATTAATTTTATATGCTGCCACCTCACTGATTTCTTTTACTGTTTGAGCTGTTTCGATCACTAATTCTTACGCCACGGGGCTGGCGCCGTCCCCCGTTTTTCAGTTGCATTCTCTCTACTGTCGGTGTGTACAGTATTCACACACTCTTCCACCCATACACCCACCCCTTGTTCTGGTCTTTGTTCTACAATTAAATGTATTAAATGATCAAGGTCAGTGCATTTGCTTTAATTCCACTCCCCCCCACCCCCCTTCTTTCTCTTCTCTTACTGCCTTGCCTTGTCTTTGCAGGGTACCACCCTTCTCTAGCTCCTTCTGCCCTAGAAGCAACGCTTTTCCCCGGCTTCCACCTCTGGCCCCCTGCTTCAACACCCCTCCCTTGCAGCTCTAGTCTCAGACATGAGGTCAGTGTATTTGCACTTGGTGTTGGCCTTCATTCTCTGGGTGTGCTTTTGTCTTTGCTCCACACAGACTCTTGGCTCTCCTCTCTCTTGCGGTCTCTTATGCCTTCCTTCTCTCGCTCTCCACACCCACAGGCTTGCAGCAGAGGCAGGACACTAGTCAGAATTTGATGTTTATTTATCTTACAGGCAACTTGTAGTCCATCGTATTTTCTCTCTCCTACTAATGCTAAAAATATGGGTCATGCATGGTTTTATTTGCATTTTTTGTTAAACTAATAGTTTTGGGGATTTTGGGGGAACGATGCGTGGAGATATTAGGATTCAGGGGACTGCCATTATCCTCCAGACCTGCTGTCTCATATTTTGAGAGGTTTTTCCTCAAAATTCTTCTGTACTCCTACCCTTCTGTCTTTGCTCCTAGAGATGACAGAAAGTATGATAAGGAACTTAGCATCAGTGGAGATCTATGCATCTATGCAATTACTCCAAGAATTTAACTCCTTGCTACTGTCCCAATGTTAAACACTTGGGAAATTCCATAAGATAAAGACAACCAGCACACTTAATACATGATGTATTAAAATTATGGCAATGATAGAAAATTGCTGCTTTTCTGTAAGGATTTAATTGTGTTTACAAACTGTACCAAAATAATACATAAACATTGGTGCTTATTTTCCTGAATAATTATGGAATGAATCATCAATGTTATACCCTATACAAAGGAGAATGACTTTCATCCAACCACTGACTTGAAATTAATTGCATAGAAAGACAGCAACACGAACATATCCACTGGGAGTATAGCCTAATTTTTTTCGCTATTTAAACAAATCAAGAATCAGATGTTTGTATACAAAATCAGTTTTATTATAAACAAAAGAAAAGTCTACTTATCAATACAAACATTAGCATTCTCTTTCCACTGAAACAAAACAAAACAAAAAACAAGCCTTATAGTTCCTTCTGGTCAACTTTACCCTTTCTTTTTGATCCTTAATTTATTGGGTGGTCTAAATTTTTGACACTTTTATAATAGATTTGCTACATTTCTACATTCGTCATTGGTTACTCAAACTTCTTTCTTTCCTTTATACTTATCATTTGAAATTTTAAGTTACTAGACAGCCATTCAACTTTCCTGAGCTGTCTCCCATTTTATTTGAATTATTTCACAATCATTCATCTGGAAATTTCTTTTTTAATCTCCCTTCATTAGCCATAATGCCTTTTTGAGACTCAAGCCTAGGGGTCAAAAATTTTTCTCTTTGAAACTTTCATAAAAGTTTCCCAAAGTCCAGGGCACTTATCTGACTCCAAAGTCCACGGTTTGCTTTTCCGGCCATCATAAACTATTACTTTGGAGTCCTCAACATTTTTTATGTCATAGCACATCACTGATGATAGTCTCACGTGGAACACGCCCTCACCGTGTACCCCAACTTTTACAAATCTCCAATATATTTTGTCTGAAAGTAAGACATTGTAATTATATCTAATTGCAACATATATTGGCTCAATATCAGTTATGCTATATATCATCCACAACGCTTATGGTGACATTGATTAACAGACTGTTGATTACGTGGAATTCCATGCTGCTTGCTAGCATGTCAGTCTTTCTCTCCCACTCAAGAAAGCGTACTCGTAAGAACATGAGAGCAATGATATTACCAGGATAACCTTGCATAGACTCAAATCTATGTATTTTTAGAAAGCAGATGACTTACAATTATATTCTTTCACTATTAGTAACAAATTACTTGCAATTCACCTCCTGTGCTAAAACCAAGTTGAAGATGACAAAAGTGCTTTCTCCCCTCCATGTCACCAACTAGCTTTTTCTCATTGGTCAAAATTAAGTCCAGACCTCACTTGATTTTGATTATAAGGGCAGTCAGTAACTTATCTCATCATGATGGTCCAAGTCTCCTTTTTTGAAATAACCTGCCTTTGTACAATTTGGGTGCCATTTAGCTCAGTAGTCTGTAACATTCTCCCGCAGTATTTTGGCAGAGCCCTTTAAATATGGCAATGAAATTTCATGATATCTTTAGAGTAGAGAAATGAAGGTTTTTGCAATCTTTTAGTTTAAAATAAGTTGATCTAAAATAATTTGAAGCTAAACACAAAATTGTCTGCAAAATATATTTTTCTAACAAATCCCAACAATGAATACTGAATTAAAAACTGTTAGCTCATTAGATAATGCACTCAGTGATGGAAGCACCAAGGACAAAAAAGCTGGAAAGGAGAGGAAATTATACCAGCAGGGGAAGTGGGGGAGTTCAGAGCAGGCCATCCATCCATGCTGGTCATCTTCTGATGTGCGGATTATGGCTAAACTGAAATTCTTTTTTCTTTTTAATTAAGAGCCATTTGGAATAAACAATTTCTCATTCTGCAGCTGCTTGTATTATAATTTCCACAACGTGTTACATCAAAGACAATCTGTTTCTTACCAAACATAGTATTTTCTGAGAACTTGCTTCTCAGGATATTTCAGGACTTCTGACATACCTTTATAAATCTGTTCTATACTCCAAAATCTTCAATGTAAAGGGAATATAATCTTGAGTAAAGGTGGTGAAAAACTCCTTTTTAAAAAAAAAACTAAATTTTATCTATGACGCTCCTTTTCTCCCATTCATCTGGCCACTCCAATTCAATTTCCTTGATGTTTCTAACCTACAAAGTCTGACCAAATGCATCCACTGAAGATAATCTTTCAAAATCCTAAAACATGCCTTTTGGCTCTAAAAAAGACTCTCCAAGTTCTTCCCTTTATCCAGGAAATCAAAATAACATGGCAAAAGACAAACAGCTTAGCTGTGGTCCTTTGGCCGCCTGAATATCTTCTGACAAAGCAGAAGGGGAAAAAAGAAACGACGGAAGGAAGAGCGGAGGGAGAGAAGAAGAGTAAATATCAAAATATTCAAGAGATTGTTTTAAAAGGAGCACCATGGTTTAAAAACAGACCCATACAGTCACTTAGCAAATGTACTAGAATGCAATAGTTACTATTTTTTGAAATGACCTTACTATGCATCATGATCCTCTTTCTAAACTTATTTTTGCTAATACCTATGTTTCTTAGGACATGGGAAAACTGTTTCTTACTTGCAATATGAATACAACTACACAGTATTGTAATGCCTACGGGCACGAAGAGACGGAGCCCTCCTTCTCCACGGGGCTGGATTTCACCTTAGCGAATGCAAAACTTACTCTTCCACTCTCGCCCACCAGGTAATGGCAGCCAGTATCCACAGCAAACCCCACAGGGCACTTTGAACAGGAGTGAAGTCAAGGCATAGCTGGTTACACTAATCTTTCTTCACTGCCCAAAAAACTATCTTTTTAAAATTCAGATTTCACTTTTTTACAACCATTTTCACATAAATTTATTTTTAAGGACTAAAACATTACCCTAAAACATATTAATAACTTATTAAGCACTGCTCTAAAAATTATTTCTATGGACACCTTCCACACAAAAAAAGTCAAGATTATTTGTCCTTTCAGTTCAGAAGTCTCATGGTATTTTTTTAAACACAATTAAAAGCACTCCATTTGTGATTTTCATGAAGGATGGGAAAGTCTGTCCAAAAGTCATCCAAACAGACGGTCAACTATACCCTCAGATCCTCAATTGGAAGAAATTCACATGCACCTGAGCTGTAAAACCTTAGCAATAATAGTCTGGTCTAGAACCCTCGCTTTTAAAAGTCATCTGAGATTCCACACTTGACCTAGAACAAAGCAGCACCTTTTCTGAATCGTCTCTGTGCCTTCGAGTCCAAAGTTCCCCTACACTTTGAGACCTGGGCGACAGGGTCTCAAACTGGATGTAAGTCTCTTTGGCTAAATCATCTTCCCAAAAGGATTCTGACCTACATTGCAGTTTGCAAACTTTGTACAACAGGAAAAATATCAATGGCAAGACAACAACACAGGCAGTACCGCTCACCACGATAAGGAAAGACCCTTGAAAATCACCCACTTCTTCAACCGTCCTAGTAGAAAAGGTGATGCACTGGTCCTTCCGGGGAGGCACTCCTTTCGGATAGACACATGCTATGTATTGCTTCCCAGGCTCCAAGCCATCTATGGTTACTTGGTTCTTGCTGGAGTCAGCATTAAGCATCAGCAGGTCCTTCTCCCCATACTTGGAATACAACACGTTCACCTCAGAGTCACGCATGCTGTTGATGGTGTTCCACACCAAAGTCACACTCTCTTCGGTCTCGCTGACCACCCTGAGATTTTCTATTGTGGCACCCATCTCCATAGACATTGCTTGATCCAACAACGCCAATTCTTTTTTACTTGCACTAGCAGGAGGAAGCTTACCTCCACCCATCTCCACCTTTAAATTTCTTTTCACATCTGGGTAGAGCTGGAGTGACTGCTGGCCAGCCACGGTGGTGCTTGTTGAAATTCTAGTGCTTCGAGTTGTGGTTGGAGAAACAAAGGAGGAGAAGAAAGGAGATAAGGAGGAGGAAGCAGTGGAGGGAGGAGACAAAGTAGAAGTAGAAAGAAAAGTGGAAGAAGCAGCGGAGGAAGGAGGCCAGGGAGATGCCGATGGGCCAGGTATGGATGGAGTTCTAGAGTCTGCCTGGACCTCTTGCTCAGGCTGATCTCCAGTTCCTCTTTCAGAAGTGTCTGATGATATGGTGGTTGTGACAACACCAACCACTGTCACAGTAACCACAGCTTCCGACATCCCAGCCAAATTTTTGGCCTTACATTTGTAATCCCCAGCATCCTTGTATGAAATGCCTGTCAAGCTTATTATGGACCATCTGACTCCTTCCTCTGGAGATTCCTGAATTACTGGAAGAAAACAACATACATACTTTGTGAGAGGGAAAAAAAAGGAAAAACTCAAGCAACATGCCGACTGAAGCAACTATCTGGTTCTACACGCATCCCTTTCACAAAAGCCAAGAGGAAAGTGGCACACTGCAAATCTCCGAAGGCAGGCAATGGTTCTGTGAATCGTCTACATGAAGGTCTGGGACGTGCCATGTGCCATGAGGTCTGTATGGAGAGTAGTATTTTCAAAAGACATGGGGCTGCAAGTTAGGAGACTTGGTGTTAGTAAACTTTTGTCCACTAAGTGGATGTGATTTCAGACAAGTCAGTTAATGTCTTTAGGTCTCTGTCTCTGTATTTTTAAAATAAGGGGATAAGACAAAGTGATCTCAAAGAGCCCTTCCAATTTTAACTCACTGTAGCTTTATAAAACGTATACCAGAAGCCCTTACTTAAATATTTCCCCAAATATTTTTATTGTAATAAAATGCCGTCTGTCTATAGCCAGAAGGTGTAGCAGATCATTTTCCGGCATGGAGGAGTCAGAATTTGTATTCTCAATCTTCCATTTTATATTTAACTTAGATTAACATCTAAACCATGGATTTTTTTAATTTGCAGAACAATATATAGTTCTTGCAAAACTGGAATTTTACTTTCCTAAACACTAAAATCTAACATATTTTTATCCTGCCTTGATTTCTGAAGCTTTCTGAAGGATAGTAATGCACTGAATGTCTCAATAGCCCAAAATGTAACTCACCCTCTTAAGCTGTGGGCCATTTACTTTCTATTTGTAGGAATATTAGGCCTTATTTTTTTTTCCATCAGGTTTCATCATTTCAACCTTGATTTAAATTTAATTTTAAAGAGTTTTAAAAATATATCCCTTTGATCATGAGAATATCACTATGGAAATAAGGCCAAAGCACCGACTCAATCATAGTAGGATCTGAAAAGTCTGTGTTACCAATATTTCTAAAAATTACACTTTTTGCTTCATAATAAGGTTTTCGTGTAATTTAATATTTAAGTAATCATTCAAAAATGAGAAGCTTGTATGAAAATCCCTTTTAAGACAATTGTAATGGTCATGCATTTTAATGTGAGCCGTACCCAAGACAATGCAGAAAAACATAGGCCTTATGCAATTTGTCATCCACTGGATTGTGTTGTTTTCTAAGAAAAAAATCAGATTGTCTAATTTCATCCATGTAGTTAGTCAGATAAACTAAGGAAAATATTAACCAAAAAAATGAACCTTTCAAATTCCTTTCACCCAAAAATCTTGGCATATTTTATTAGAATTAACCGGCCAATTTCAAACAAAACAAAAACATGAGGTTCAGTTCCAACCTTTGAAAACTCTTTGTTTCATAGGCCTGAATTAAGAGAATACCTGTATAATTAACTGGCGAGCTGTCGGATCTGGTCCACGTGAGCTGTGGGGTGGGGTAGCCGGTGGCATCGCACCGCAGCAGAACGTTACTGCCCAGAGCGGACGTGATCTGGGTGGCCGAGGCCATCACCGATGGCTTCAGACACTGCTCCAGCTCAGCCCGCTGAAATGCAATCCCTGCCAGGCGCTCGGGTTCACTACAAATCATCAGTGGATCGAGGAGCACTACAGCGGGGTCAGCAACTTTAGACAACTCGATCACTTTGGAAATGTGACAGTCACAAAACCAAGGGTTGTCCTGCAGACCTAGGCCAGAAGGGAGGAAAAGGGTGAAAAGTTTATTCTGATGACTTCAGCTGACATCACAGCCTCTTGGGGAAGCAGGTGTCTGCACTGTCTCCCTCAGAACAGACGTGCTTTGCGGGATGAAAAGGAGGCACCTGGCTGTCAGGTTTGCCCTGCAATCCAGCCACTGAAAGAACACATCCTGTCAGTTCAGATCATTAACGACCACGGCTCACCGTTACTGACCATTTACCCCACACTAGGCTCTCCTCTAAGCACTTTCCTGTATTATCTCATTGAATTCCAACAATCCCATGAGGAGGAGAGTATTATTATCCCCATTTTAAAGTTGAAGAAGCTGAGACATGGAGAAGCCAAATAATTTGACCAAAGCCACATAGTTAATTAGTGTCAGAGCCAAGATTTGAATCCAAGTACCACAGGTGCCATAAATACCGCGACAGAGCTATTTCTAGGTGCTGTGAAAGCACTTCTGGTATTTGAAGGGTTATGGGGTGCTGAGAGGCACCTAGTACAGCCTGCACTGCATCGCTGTTTTGTGTGATCTGAAGACACACTGAGGCAGGATAAGTTCTGTGGAGCAAAAGCACAGAGTGAGATGCAAGCAGCATCAGGAGAGAAGATGGGAAAGACTGGTCGAGGCTGGAACATAGCTTAGCATGGATGTCACATGTGGTGGCCACGGAGGTGCCCTGCTCAGTCTCCCTTCAGGAGAGCATCAGCAGCAAGGTCAGTTAGCTGTCAGCCTCCCCTGCGAGTGCCTTCAGGGTCTGCCTCCACTTTCAGAACTGCTGGTCAAAGTGCTCCGGCCTTCAAGGAGCCTGTCAGTGAGAGCTCAAAGAGAAATGAGGAAAACGTTCCCGGAAACTAGAGGAGAGGGGCCCCTCGTTATGGAGTGGCAGAAAGTTTAGCAACACCGTCACCTGTGGCTCACCTGGAAAGTAGAAAACATATTCAGCGACACGCACGTTCCAGCTAAGGATATTTCTTCACGCGGTGTCCAAACTGCTGCCTGGTGTCTTCCTGCTGCTCATTGTAAAATGTCGAGGAGAGACAACAGCTGAAGGAAGATGTGCTAACATAAAGGAGCTGAAACTTGCTGGGTTCTTACTCCCAGCCTCTCCGAAGCTCTCCCGTCAAGAAAGGGCTTCAGAGAGAAAACCAAGTCTAGCGTGGGTGGGACTCTAACGTCGTGTGCTAAGATCTCAGAAGGATGTCAGATGGTGCTCAGAGCCTTCCGTCACACAAAAGTCTCTCTGAGGGCCTTAAGGGTGACGCCCCACAGCAGCCTCACATAAAGCCCAAGGTTGAAAAGGACTTCTCTCAAAAAGATTTGTGGTTGTGGCTTTTTACTAATGGAGCGGATTATATATTGATTCATAAGGAGAAAAGACAGAATTGCAATTTTAGAAAATTCTAACCATGGTGGAAGATTTGACTGTTCATTTATAAATTCTAGATTTCCATGAATGCCTATTTTTAGCATAATAGCGCTTCATGACTGGCTCATATTTTTCTGCCAGCATTGGTAAATGTTTACTGTTCTTTTACGTTCTATCTTATAAATTTCTTTTCTTCCGTGAGTGAACTAGCTTGAACTTCTTCCTCTTATATTTAGTCCTTTGAATTCATAACCAGTTCAGTAACGTTGCTTTGAATTCTATCCCACCCGCAACAAACGTCAAATTCATTCTATCATGGAATAATGTGTGTAGAATACTTAATACTTTCAAAACACTTATTAGGCCAGATTTTTTCTTTACAAAGTAATAACAACACAAGTTAGCAGTTATTGATTGCTTTCTATGTGGCAAATACTGCACCTGTCAAGAACTGTAAAGGGTCTGAGTTTTGCCCTATTTAGGGTGACCACCTCATCCCAGTTGGCCACGTAGTTTTATAGATGTTGGCAGAAGACACAGGACTCCTGGTCAGAGACAAAGGATAGTTTATTACTCACAGCTCTGGAGGGAGACACTATCTTTATCACACTGGGCAGTAAGCATGCCTACCCTTTGCTCTGGAGGGAGACAAATCTCTGCTTCCAAAATGGCTTTCGACACAAACTTCCTTGAAAAGATAGTTCAGCGCAGGAGGCAGTCAGTTAGTGCCTGCCTCTGCTCACAAGACAGGCAGAAATGTGAGAGACGGAAGAATTGTCTCCCAACAGTGCTAAGCCTGCTAAAGGATTTGTCTGCCTCAATCCTGACAATAGCATGAGGTGTATATGTTAGTTTCACGCTCATTTTAAGAAAACCAGTGCTTAGGGAGGTTTAGGGATCTGCCCAAGGTCACACAACTGACCGCAGTCAGGATTTGACCCTCGGTGTCCTGGTCTTAAAGCTCTCATTCTCAACCACTATGTATATGTCTTATATCGACCTCTGGAAACTCGTATGATTCTTCCAATTTCACACCAGAGAACGCCAGAGCTCAGAGATTACTGCCTTAACTTTGTAAGTAGCTTAGAGTTCTGACCAAATCCCAGATGTTTCAGCCTCCTAATCTAATACTCCTTCCACCATAACTCATTTCTTCAACACCTAAAAGCGTCTAGAGCCATGGGTGGCAGCTATATGTGCCGTTATCTACAAATAACGGATGTCAAAGCAGCAATGTCTGGAGCACAAATGTCTATATCGGGAAAGATCCAGGGGCTTTTAACATTAACAATTTCATTCCCACTTTGACGCTGTTTGAAAAATGTATTAACGGTGAAACAAAATTCTTTTAAAAATTAATCCAACTGGTCATATCTAAAAGTTATGTAAACCAGGAAGATATTTCTAAATCCCTCAAACATAGAATGTTTATTTATTCCAACTTTGAAATATCCAAGGTCAAGGGTATAACTTTAAACCCTGAAAACTAATAATGATCTGAGCGCTGAACGCATTCACCAAGTGCTTTTTCTCCTGGGGACAAAGTTACAAGAACTCCCTGGAGTTACACTGTGACCTTCACTGCATTCCTTCCAGCCAGCACACCATCCACAGTAATTTGCATTAATCAATTTATTTTACATAACTATTCTTGGGTAGGGGCAAATGAACTTTGCCTTCTCCTTTTTTTAAAAGGGTAATGTTTTCCATGCATCACGGTGGTTGGATTAAATGTGCTATTTTTGTGTGAAAAGTCAGCAATAAATTCCTGTACAAAAGTCATTCTGCAGATGATCAGCTCTTGAAGGCAAAGAGCACACCTTAGTCAGCTTTGTGGAGGCAGTGGCGAGTCACATTCAAGGGGAAAGGAAAGTCATTTCAGCAAATGGTGCTGAGACAACTGGACATCCGTTTGGAAAAACATAAACTTCAACCCCTACCTCACACTATACTCAAAAACTATTTTGAGATGGATCACAGTCATGAACATAAAAGCTAAGAATATAAAGCTACAAACTGAATATAAAAGTTAAAACCATAAAGACAGTAGAATATCTCTGTCACCTGTGGGTAGGCAAATATTCCTTAGATGGGACACAGAAAGCACTAACCATAAAAGAAAAGACTGATAAATCAGATGTCGCCAAAATTTAAAACTTTCTTACTAAAGACTCCATGAAGAAAATGTACAGACAAGCCACAGACTCAGAGGAAATATTCATAATGCATATAACTAACAAAAGACTTGTGTTCAATAATAAAAAGAAAAACAACCTTAAAAAACCATGAAAGAAAAAACAACCTTAAAAAATTATAAAGGAATATACCAGTGGTCAATAAGCAAATAAAAACATGGTCAAGACCGTCAGTCATTAGGGAAATGCAAATTAAAATGACAAGGTGGTACCACGCCCTGACCCACCCACCCCCTGAAATGAAATGAAAGAGACTGAAATGAAAAAGACTGACGACGTGGAGTGTTGGAGAGGATGTGGAGCACGTAGGGTGTTAGACAGTACTAGCGGGGGTGTAAAACAGTACATGCTCTTTGGAAAGGGGGCAGTTTCTTAAAAAGCGATGTGTATAACCATCCTATGATCCAGCTATTTCAATCCTAAGAATTTATCCAAGAGAAATGAAAACGTATGCTACAAAAAGCTTTGCACAAGAATGTGAATAATAGCTTAATTCATAATAACTAAAAACTGGAAATGGCCCATGTGTCCAACAGCAAGAAAAAGGATGAACAATGAGTGCGTTCATAAAATTGACTGTGACTCAGCGATAAGGAACCGCCAATCCATGCAATGACACAGATGAATCTCAAAAACGCAGTGCTGAGTGAAAGAAGGCAGGCACAAGAACGCATCTTATAAATTCCATTTATGTGAAATTCAGGGCAGACAAATCAACCTATGGTGATAGAAATAAAATAGTGGTTGCATGGGCTGGGAGGAGACTGACTGAGACGGGGCACAGGGGAACTTTGCAGGGGCATGAAATTGTTCTGTATCTTGGTGAGGATGTGGATTTTGTGGGGGTATACATTTACCATCATACCCAACTGTACACGTAAGATCCTCTGTATTACACCCCAATTCCTCAATTTAAAAAAAAGTTTAAAAAAGAGAGGAATGCTATCTCTGGAGATGGCCTGTGAATTTGAAGCTTGACTTTGCCTTCACCAGCTGTAAAAAGAGGGCCGTGATGATTACAGACCCACCTCCTGGGGTGGTCCTCAGGGCTGGGATCCTGCCAGGGAGTCCTGAAGAGAGCGCCTGGCACAGGTCAGCCCTAACTACGTGGATTAGTCTTCTCTGGGCCTAGCAAAGCATGGGCATCCCCATGGGGACTGAGGAGCATTTGCTGAATTAAATTAATGACATATTAGAAAATTCTGTGGGAATAATCAGGCTACTGCTGCCCTTCAGGCAAATTTCATTCTGAATAGGAGAAGAGCCCAGGTTTACAAATGAACAAATTTGGGCACCAGTAAATAGCACTCAAGAAAGCATTTTATGCCCTCGCCTACTGCAGGCTTTTTCCTCCAAGAAAATCATTGTCAGGGCTTACGTAGTCTGCCTATGTAAATATTTGCCTATTCTTGAGAAAGACGCCGTGGAAACTTACCTGTATTGCAAATCAAAAATCTAATCTGGTTTCACAGTTAATCTAAATATTTACTTGCAGGACACTAGTTTATGTTTTTATGGATACATTAAAGGACAATATCGTTAAGTTGGTATTTTTACTCATGCAGAAATGAGAGGGAGTAATCGAAAAACCTTTGCCTAAATTTTGTTATTAAATACCTGATTTAAAGAGATCGGTAAAGTAATGCATATATGAGAAAAATAACTTTGGTATTAGTACATACCGTACCTTGCATTACAAAGGAGAGGGGAAGCGCATGGGTTCTGGAACAAATGGCCTGTACTCCCCCCCTGCTCCTTCGCTAGGTGGTGAGTGAATCTGGGCAAGTGGCTTAACTTGTGCCTCATTTCTTCATCTATAAAATGGGGATGAAATGGTACTTACCACACGGTTAACACGAGGCCGGAAGAAGCTCTATCTGAGCAGTATAGGAACTAGGCTTGGCCCTGAGTAAGCACTCCATCAGTGTTAGCTTTTACTATTATTATTTCAAATAGAACCTCCATCTGCTAACAATAGCAAACACAGGACAATAAAGTTATATAAAAGCTTAACGTGTCTTACTATAATAGTACAAAAAAATCCTACAGGCACCTAGAAACATATGATTGCTACAGTTAACCACTGAGTTCTAGAAAATCTAGAACTGGTTCTCATCACCATATTTTAATGATAAAATTGGAAGACTCAAATATAGTTAAAATAGCAAAAGAACCAGAGTAGAGAAGTATTTTGTTATAAGACACTCCCGGCTCAGTCACAGCTGCTATGGATTATTATTCATCTAAAATCATAACCTCAGAGACTGTTGGCCTCATATCCTAAAGAACTGTCACATACAACATCTCACCCCATTCTCATTACAGTCCTGTGAGCAAGAGGGAGCAAGGCCTCCCACCTCCATCTTCCAGCCGAGAGCACTGACTCCTCTGTGCGTGCCCACGCGCGCCCCAGCCCTCCTCTGGGAGGGCAGCTCTTCTTTCCCCTTGTTGCATTGCAGGCACGGCTTTGCTAAGGCCAGCTGCCATCCATGGCTGGACACGTTTTAAAATATCTTCTGTTATTTATTATCATGATTTTTATCACTATTGTAAAAGTAATGCATGGTCGTTGCAGAACATTTTGAAAATACAGAAAATCAAATGATGCCCCACCCCCAAAGAAGCCGGTTAACCAAGTGCATCTTTTCAGTCTTTTTCTTTGCACTTTTCAAAAAATTGTAATTATGCTTTAAGTACAATTATATACCCTGCTTTTTAAATTTAATGTTATATTGAAAGTATTCTCATTTTACTGCTTTTAGAGCATCTGAACCCTAAAACAGATAAACCTGTGTGGGTAACTCTCCACGGACAAAGAAATTTCATGACCCTTTCCCATATGATCCCTCTGTTCTCATCCAGATTTAACTTACAAGTGAAAAATAATAATGCTCTATAAATTATTTCTTCATAGTAATATTTGCAACTAATCATTAGAGAGCTATTTATAGTAATTTAGTAACTGGATTTATTGTCTACTGTATCTCTCCATTCGGTAGTTCTGTTAGAACCAAGAATGGCTTCCAAAGAAACTTAGAAAAATAGAGAGAGAAATAGAATCTCAATGTTTAAATTAGGACAATTTCTAAATATCAGCCTTACACATAAGGATCAAATTAGTGGCTAAAATAAATAAATACTACAGTATAGGTTTGCACGGTGTATATAATCACAGTGTATATAATAAGGACTCCACAACCATCGTTAAGTTAAACTAATGTTTTTTCTCTAACCCATCCCACAATACTGTTTTCATTTTCTAACCAAAAATGTTTGAAGGACTAGATAAGCAGTGGACAAAACATGAATTAGCTATATAAGAAAAGCTTATGTGATTTTGCCCCTGTCTATCTGGTTCTCATTACTCATGCTTTTAGTCTCATAAGCACCAAAACACATTTACATCTCAACAGAAGCAATGCTGAAACCATTTAAGGGGTGTCACAGCATTTTCTTTTTTATCAAAAGAAAACTCAAATTTAACTTTTATTTTATTTATACTTCATCAAAGATTTGAGTGTGTGATATTGGTCAGCAGGGATTGCTGGCTCATATTTAGCATCTAGTTGCTTCTCACTCCAAAAGGCTTCCTGTCATTTCATTGGACAGAGAGAAGTTCTTTACTCTTCTGAGAAACAACCTCCTCTGCTGCAATGATGACACAACTTGTGAACTGACCACAAGCCTTATCGAGTGAGCAAAATTGTAGCAAATCAAACCTATTGACCAAAGCCTCAGGCTGTGTCTTCTACAGAAGTGTGGAAGGCCTCCCTGCCCACAGACAGCCCAGAGAAGGGTCTCGGTTCACTGATTTCAATGGGGCAACCACATTCACTGGGCGGTCACCACGTGCAGAGCGCTGTGGGAAGATACAAAGAAAGAAGAGAGGGGTCTACCACAAGGAGTGTACCTTTAAGAACCCAAGACTAACACCCATAGAACCTAAACAAAGTCAGGATCAACATATACAAAGCTAAGCACCGCTAAACTTAGCGACCAAATCCATTAGGAGACCCACTGGGGGCCAGTTAAATAACTGGTGTTTCTGTCATTTCTTTTTAGATTAAGAAAATTTGGAAGCTATCTTCCTAACCGATTAAACCCTTGCCCCTCATAAAGAGGCCGACGTCCCTCTCCCACTCGTGAAGAGCCTGAGGAAGGGTTAAAAAGAGACCAGAGCGGAAGGTTGGGTGTGGCAGAGTATGGAGCACCGGCGTGTCACAAGAATAAGGGCAGGTTGGAAGATCTGTCACTCAGCTCCAGGGCCTCTGAGAGCAACATTAGTGTCTCAGCTTATGAGGCCAGCTCCCCTCCCTCCCCCAACACACACACACACACATACACACACACACACCATTACACCTTACACAGGGTAGACAGGCAAATTGACCTAGCTGATAAAGTACTATTCCATCAAAAGTGCAAGTATAGAGGAAGAAACCAAAGTCAGCAGATATGAGAAGACTGAACCACTGAAGCATCCAGAGCAAATTATCTGGGCCTGAGAAGGCCAGAAATGGATGAGCTCACCAAGAATAATTCTTCTTGGTGTGAGGGCCAGGCTTCTAGATGATGTTGCAACTAGGTGAGACCAGCTCTCCAGGAAATCTGGTGGCAGCGTTGTTAGTCTGTTACTTGATAAATCCAAGTAGGCAAGGTTCTTCAGGTACCTGAGGGCCTCATTTGGCACACTGGTTATTCTGTTATTGTGCAGACCCAGGGTCCTCAGAAGCGGCATGTCCAGCAGAGATGCCCAAGGGAAGGCAGCCAGAGAATTCCCATCCAAGCGCAACTCATGCAGCTGCTTCAGGTTGTAAAAGCTGCTCACATCAAGGCTGGCCACGGAATTGTAAGTCACCCAGAGGTACTGGAGCTCCACCAGGTAGTAGAAGGCCTCGGCCGGGATCCTGCGGATGACTGTCTTCTCTATGCGAAGCTTCACGGCGTCCACGGGGAAGTTCGTAGGGACCTCGTTCATGTCCAGGTCATTGCATAGGACCAACCTAGTGTCACAAGAGAAAGAAACCTGCCTTCTGAGACTCATTTGAAAAAATAATACTTATTTGAAATATGCATCAATTTTTCATTCCCTGCTGGTTTTTGCAAATTATCTGTTCAGCCTGACTAACCTATTCATTAATAATTCATCATCGTCTTCTTCTTTTAGATTGAATCATATGAAATGGCCATTTTTATAGGTTAAAAACAATCAAATATCAGCAGCAGTTTCTTGTGGTTCAACCTGATATTGATGGAGCTCTTTAAGGGTCAGGCCTGTGCCACACCCACCACAACCGCGGCCTTCTTTCATCATCAGACAGGCCCTAGGAGGTGGGTGTTGGGTTCCAGGTAGAGGCACCAGCTCTGGAGGCAGGCTGATCTCAGCTCAAATCTAAGCTCGGACACCTTCTCTGTGGCCGTGAGATCGTGGCCACTTCTCTGATCGCTCAACTTCATTTTCCCATTTGGGGTGTTAGGATGATTAGTTGAAATGGATGTAAAATTTTACACCTTCCTGGTGCATAGTAAGCACTCAACGAGTGTTTGCTATTATTATCATCAACCTCATTTTTACAGATAAAATAGCTGAGGGCCGGCACCATCAGGAAACTTCCCAAGGCCACATAGTGGATTACAAAGCCACCTTTCAAACCCACATCCATCCAACTCGGGGGAGCACGCTGAAACCTTTCTAGAAATGACCCATTTTAAAGGAATCCCCTGTCGAAGTTACAAATTGATCCTTTTTAAGACGATCACTTAAAGAAAGAAAAAAGAGCAAATGATCACACTAGGTGCCTAAAGCTGAGCTCTATTTTAACAATGTGACTGTGCACTGCTTTCAGCCTAAGGAATTAACCAGAAACTTCAAGTTTATTCCTTTTGCCATGTCACTAACTTAAAGGACCTTGAGCGAGTCGCACTGTGATGTTGTTTAGTGGCAAGTGTAAAACAGGCATAGAAAAACAAGCCTGCCCCATGGGTGGGAGTAAAGGAGGAAGAAACAGAGAATTTAGTTTCATTTTAACCTATAAAAAGACCTAGTTATCTCCCATCATATACTCATCCCCACTGGACTGCTGAAAACGAACAATAAAAAGTTTTGCAAAGCATGATCTAAATTACAATACATTATACACGTAGTAAATAATAACTATAAAGTAGTAAATAATAACTATAACACAGCCATTTAGTACAACACATCACATTAAATCAGTGAATTCTAAAAGCCAGGCTGTAATGTAGAGAAGGAAGCAGCATAAAGCTGCGATGCACTGGCAGCGTCATCTCCTTTCTGTGACTTTGGGAGAAGACTCTGAAATCCCTGGAATTCTCCAGGGGCAGCTCTCCTTCTTCATCTCTATTCTGTATCACAAATTTCAGTGCTGCTTTACACCGGCATGATGCGGTTTCTACTCATTACGTCAGCATTCAGCGTGCTGCAGTGGAAGAAGCCTGGACTGGAAGCCGAAAGACCCAGCATCCTTATCAGCCAGGCACCGCATCAGCTCAACGCTGCTCTTGGACGAGTCGTTCAGTCGCTACGTGGTTTAGTTCTTTCCATTATAAAATGACAGCAGTCAAACTAGATCATTTCTAGAATTCTTGCCAGGCATAATAGACTATGATTTTTATAAAGTCCATCAATAATAGGGCCACCATTGAGAAGGAAACATTTCTGTGATTGTTTTCTCAAAAGCACCCAGAGCCTGGGTCATTAACTGCTGCATATCGTTTGCCAAGTAGATCTTTAATTTTTTACATTCTTCTCACTGTCTTTACCCACCTACTGAATATTTCAAAAAGATATCAAAAGTTGGATAAGTAAAGAATATACAAGAACAAGACAAACTACTCAAAAATGTTTTTATTATTATTTAATTATTTAAAGCTGTAAGTCAGAAATTGGGTGATTCTTCTAACAAATTACTTTGTTTAAGAGGCTCACTGTTCAATCGTCACAAAAAAATCTGATTTTGTTGCTAAATATCCCCTCAAAAAAAAAGTCTACCATGTTTAACTATTAAGAGTTCTGTTTTGCATTTAATTCTATCTAAAGGACCCCTGCATATGTTCTCACTTAACAGGGAGATGTCAAAGCAATCAGAGGTTAAACGGCTTCTGTGAGGCCACGCGGGGTCAGCAGCAGGCAGGGTGGATCCAGACCTTTAAGCTTCTTTTCTTTGTAAACTGCAATATCTTAAAGTGAAAAATTCTAATTATGAGGGTCTCTAACTCTTGCGACCCTCCTGCCTACTTCCTAAATTGTACCCCGTTGGCAGGAATAATCCCCAAAATGAAATTTACAACCCCGGAAGCAGATGATCTGGGCCTGGCCTCTTGCGCTTTCTCCAATCAGGCTGAAGCCGGCCACACGCATTTGAGTGGGTTTGACCTCAGAAAGGGACATTGTGTGAAGACAAGTGCGATGAATATTTTTGTAACACAGAATGCGTTTGAGAGTCTCAGATTATTGGAGGGGCTTTTAAGAGCCAAACCACTCAAAATGAAAACAGTGAAGGAGTGGGCAACCTGGACGAACACAGTTAAATTCAAGCTTATATAAATTTTAAACCTTCTCTCCTCTGATTTCTGATGGATAATTTGCTTTCAAACTAAAGCCATCTGGTTTGAGCCCTTTTTCCGGGAATCATTAGTAACAAGGAGAGAAGCGTACCTTGATCCCGAGCCATCGTCTCTGCCCCAGTAGTCGCAGGTGCACTGTGAAGGACACGAACAGCTCACTCTTTCCAAAAAGCTGAGCACAATGCACAGGCATGCAAAGAGACGCATCGCTCCTTTCAGAGGTTATTTGAACAAAAGGTGAAAACAAAATCCTAAGCATTCAGAAGCTGGTGTGCCAGGACCGTAAACAGCCATTTACCAACAGCAGATTACACGGGATTAGCTGAGATCTGTAGTTACTTAACCTTCAAGTGTATCTTGCAGGGGATCAATCGACCTAGCCTTTGAATATGGTTTCAGCAAAGCAACACATTCTCAAGAAAATGAAAATCAAACACGTCAGGAAAATTGTAATTGTTGCCCATATCTAGATTTGCAAAGGAACCTATTAAATAAATCTCTTTCCTCTGGACGTCATTGCTACTTCACCTTGAAGGTACACTGAATGTTAAAATAATTCAATGTCTAAGCAGATGCTAGAAAATACTATAGATTGTTTACATGTTATAACATTATAATGTTACTTTTTGCCAGCATGTATAACACTCAGTTTTACAAAATTTAGCTTTAAAGATAGAAGCAGAATTGATTTCGCATAGATTTATCAACGTTGCCGCTCATACTGGCTATCTCCAAAAGCAAAGGAAACCAAGTTCAGTACCTAGAGATTTTAGGCAAAACGCTCCAATCCACCCTGAAGGGCAGGGCTCAGGCTCCTGTGACTGCGCGTCCTGTGGCTCTCCCAGGCCGTCTCAGTGCTGTGCAAGGCTCAGCCCAGCGTGTTCATTTTTAATGAAGGCCATTATCTCTGTTCAAAAATATATTTTATTCCAAGCTAGTTTCCCAAGTTATGGGCATCAAACTCTGCACAGGAAGCTCAACTGTCACGTCTTTTAGCAATATTAGGCTCCATCGGAAAATAAAAATTAAATTAACTAATTGAAAAACTACCCCCACACATATAACATGGGGAATTCACAGGGACAATCAAGGATTTAGGTAATAAATATATAAGGTATTTAATCTTCTTATTAGGTGGTTCTATCCATCATCTTTAAACCAAAAACTTTTTTAAAAGAAAATCAATTCCATGAAAAACAAGAATATTATGGGAAATATTATTGAAAACTAATAGGGTGCATATAGAAATAGTAGAGTTAAAAGAATTTGCCCAGTTAAAATAAAACACTGCCGGTTTTCAGCTTCTGCACAATTCATTTGTTCATCCAATATTTATTGAGCACACACCAAACTAAATACTAGGAGTACAAGGATGAATACAATACCTCGCTGCACAAAAGGACCTCACGTGATAAAGAGAGGCACAGAGTACTCGTGTGAAGAAGCAGAGGAGAAGAACGTCAACCTGCCATGCTGGTCACTTCCTAGGGAGGGCGGCACCTGAGCGGCTCTTACAGGATGCAGTTCACGTATGAGGTGGGAAATCAGGAAAGGGGCGTTGCCAGCAGAGGGAACAGCAGGTACAAAGGAACAGAAGCAAGAATTAGCATCTTGTCCTCAGAGAACTACAAGCACTTCAGCATTGCTCAGGCAAATGATTTGAGGCAGGAAGTTAGAAAAGAAGGGGAGGAGACAAAGCTGGAGAAGATAAGGCCATGAAGCAAGGGCCTCAGATGCCCTGGTAAGGAGTGTGCCCTCAGCCTGTTGGCGACAGGAGCAGTAAAGGTTGGGCCAAGGGGTGGCACATCAGAGCTCCATTTTCGATAGAATTCTCTGGCAGTTGTGTGCAGGAAAGGTTTAGACTGAACAAGCAAGAAGGAAGGAGGAGGCCATGGCTAGAGTCCGGGTGAGCAGCCACAGGGCTGCAACTTGACTGCCCTGCTGGGAAGGGTTAAGATAACGTACCCTCAGGAGACATCTAGGAGGGGGAATGCTTGATTAGATGTAGCGGTGAAGAAGAAGGGATTTAAGAACAACCCCCAGGTGATGGGCAGTGTCCCTAAGTGAGTTTGCAAGCAGAGGAGGAGGAAGGAATGGGGGGAGGGGTAGTAGAGCTCTGATCACCAAGTGGCCAAAATGTTTCTGAATTATTAATTTCATGGAGGTTATGACCTACACAGAAGCAAGTCATACCAAATTGAGCATAGAAAAACTATTTAAAGATAAAACATCAGAAATTAGTAACTAAGAGGTTAGAAGGAGCTATGTAACCAAAGCCAGGTCTTCCTAGTCTCATCATATAAGCAAATTGTCGTAACTGATTAATGTGGTATTAAAATATAATTGTAATTTTAAAGTCCTTTATGCTTGAAGCAAAGTTGCCCCTTGCTTATTGCTGGTAAGAGTTCACAGGTTTGTAAATCAGAACTCTGAATCAACTTTCAAGACAATATTACACACATTGTCTTAGCCATTTACTGGCTCTGCAACTTGGGGTGCAGACTGCCACTGTGCTTTCTCTGTACGTGGCTCAGCTACAAGCGACAAGATGAGCAAAGAGCTAGTGGCACAAAAGCGTTCAGATCTCTCTGGGAACACTGAACATTCTAATCTGGCCACGGAGAAAGACTTTGGCTGCCTTTGGGACCACGTGGACGGGGGTCATGAAGGCCCAGCTGACGGATTTATATTTACTGGGCAAGTGATTGAAGGTTTTTTGAGCTGAAGATTTTGGGGACTGGAATTTTCTTAAAAAAAATATTCTAGCTACACAGATAATTAATATATTGACTGCAGTGGAGAAAGGCAGAGGGCGAGGAGATAAATAGGGGGATTATTAGAGCAGTTTGTTATTCCAAATGCATAGTTGAACATATATAAGACAATGCCCTGATTTTTCCTAATATGCACTCAAAGGTGCTAAAGAGACAATTTACAAAAAGAAAAAATAGAGATAAGAGAACACAATATGCAAAGATACACAACCTCACTAGCAGTTAAAGAAATGTGAAATAAAATGAATTTGTTACAGTAGGTAGCTTACAGCTTAAAAAAAATTAATGAGACAGCACTATTAGCAGGAATACGATGGTAAAGAGCCAGTGCCAGCGGCAGGGTAAATTAATTCAGTCTGTCCAGAGAGCAAGTTAGCAACAACAATACCATTTTTATATTTTTAACCAGCAATTCTAGTCTGAAGAAACACTCAAATAGAATAGCTCTCCCAAAGAAAAAAGGCATTTGTACTAAAATGTTCCCAGTGGTGCATCCACGAAACTAAAAATTGTGAAGCAATTTAAATGTCCACTATTTAAACAATGGTATATTATCATGCTATGCTTAATGGTCATTTAAAAGGTCAAACATGAATGTACAAATTCATTCAACAATCAACAAATATTTATTCACTGAGTGCCTACTATGTGCCAGGCAAAATGGGTCTGTGTGCTAAGGATACATCAAAGAAGAAACGTTCAGCTAATCCACGGGCATCAAGTTTCAGTTAAGCAAGATGAGTGAGTTCTAGAGATGTGGTGTACACATTGTACCCGCAAGTACCAATACTGTACTCTACACTTAAAAATTGGTTAAGAGGGTAGATCTCATGTTAAGTGTTCTTACCACAGTAAAATAAAATTCAAACAAACAAAAGCTAGGGGAAGAAAAGAACAAACACACAAGAACCCCTACTCTGATTAAACTTAATTGTATTGGCAAATATATGGAAATACATATACAGAAAAATAGTAATTAAAAATGCAGAATACACAGTAATACACACAGAGATTATATTGCTATATAAAATATATATTGACTGACTGACATTGACTGACGTGATTTAGAAGCAACAGTGTTTAATGTTCATTCAATTATTTTTGTTAAACAGTACAAGTTAATAGTTGTACTAAAATTTTAAAATTGTGAAAAGTGAAAAATGTCTTCCATTCTACCTGGGAATATCCAACAACTCATTTCAGTAACTATTTGTTGAACATTATTAACTATTATTATTATTATTGATTTATTCTAACATTAAAAGAGCAGTGCCTCTAGTGTAATGGAGGACCCAGGCTAGTTACCAGGTCATGGCTACAGTGTAACACAAGCCGGGAGAGGAAGAAAGATGAGGGGCCTTCTTGTCTTGGGCCTGGATTCATCAAAGGAGATGAGCAGTAAGTTTACACATAAGGAAATAAAGAGACATTCACTACACCAATGCAAGAACTCTGAGCTGCACCTGAAGAATTTGCAATCTAATAGGACGATGGTCTGTGTCTGTATTTGATCTGAATGGGCTCATATTTAAAATGAAATTAAACCATGGCAAAAAAAAAAAAGAAGTAAACAAAATGTTTTGATAATGTGTGCTTTCTTCTTATTTCAGATTCTTCCAGAAGCCAACTGGTTTTGAGGTACATCCATTGGTAAAATGCTCGTCACAGGCATTGCTCGGTGAGTCTGACATTTGAACATGGCAAACATCGCCCTCCGAAACCTACAATAAAAAAGGGAAAATCTGGCATTATCCTGTAAGGACTGGAACTTTTAGAGCACTTTCAAATCTGGCTAAGACGCCACCACTGCCAATTGAATCTCCAAATAAATTTCTGCCTCCAACTTTAACATCTCCTGTCGAGAACCTTTGTACATGTATAAAGTGTATGTTACAGTTAAAGACCGATTTTGCACCCTTGATGATAAACATTGAAGACATTTCATAAAAATTGACAATTTTCTTTCCAGATTGGCATCTGAGCTAACATCTATTGTCAATCTTCTTTTTTTTCTTCTTCTTCTTCTCCCCAAAGCCCCCAGTACATAGTTAGAGATTCTAGTTGTAGGTCCTTCTGGCTCTGCTATGTGGGACGCCGCCTCAGCATGGCCTGATGAGCGGTGCTAGGTCTGCACCCAGGATCCAAACTGGTGAAACCCTGGGCCGCCGAAGCAGAGCACACAAACTTAACCACTTGGGCACAGGGCCGGCCCCTGAAATTGATCATTAAATATGCTCAAAATGAAACTTCTAATGTCAGTTGCAACGATTTATTTATTTGAACAGAGGATGTGTGTTTCAAGCATCTGTTCTTCTGAGCAAAGGCCAGTTGAAATTAAGAGGAACTTGAGAATGACTGACCTTCCCAAAAGAACTACCAATAGATTCTGAATTAAAAATGTGTTCTTTATTCTTCTTATGTGACCTGTTTGGTCTTGAAAGCTTTTATGTTTCCTCACACATCTGTAGGTAAAGTCGCTCTCCCAAACATGTACCTAAATACATAAGTTTAATAAAAGCAGCATTGGCATTCCAGCATCAGATTACCTGACATCTACTGAGATTTTTCTGGTCAAATGTGGAAGCACA